AATTTCGAACCTGACTGTTTTAAAACTTCATTTAGATCTGAGCAAGAGCAAAGAACAGCAATGGCTTTGATAGTTGGAAAAATATTCGAACACTGGTGCAAGGAAACTCTGATACAGCACAGCACCCGCAACTGGACAAACACAGTAACACTTGGTTTAAGTGACCACCCCACGGTGCGAGCAAAAGCGGTCGTTAAAGTCAGGTGGTCTTTAGAATCAGGTCCCACAGTGTCTGTGTAGAGCAGGTGGTCGCTAAACACCCAGAGGTCGCTTACGCCAGGTTTTACTGTACTTGAAATATCAAGAAAAGAAAGTTCAGTTGAACCTGACAAGAAGAAGAAAAAAAAGTTAGCAGAGGATGGTTTCAATCCATCGACCTCTGGGTTATGGGCCCAGCACGCTTCCGCTGCGCCACTCTGCTTGCTACAATATTCAATGTAGTAACAAGACACATGGATTTGCCATCATGGTACACCAAAAAAGACAAAAAGTACAGGGCACACTCGGAGTTGAACCAAGGACCTCTCGATCTGCAGTCGAATGCTCTACCACTGAGCTATATGCCCTGACTGGGTGAACCAACATCAGTATACCTATCCGAGCAGTAATGTTTTATATCCACAGTTGCCTAAAGATTGACTTAGGGATAACACGTTGAGTAGCAACTAATCCCTATATGGCCTAGTCGTTTTGTTTAGTGTCTTCCATGTGTACGCGTCACTTTCTCGTAGTGTGAAATTCAGAGTTGCAACAAATCGTTCCGACCTCTGCGGCCGAAGACTCGTCTAGAATTCTGAGATAGTCCAGATGATGAAAAGGAGCACCCCTTTAAATTCAATCCTGTAGCTCTTTTTTGATAATGCTCTACGTCCTGAAATTTGTCGCAAGACCTCCTAGAAGACGTTTACTGAAGACCATTGAGGGAATATGTCAAGGGCACCACAAGATTTCAGAAATTATTCGCCTTGCTTTTCGAGAGGGTGACAAACATCTACCTTTTTGGAAGCATTATCACTGAAAATAAAATTGTGAACGGCACGATTCGGCTGTTCATTAATGCAACAACCTCTCCTCCTCTTCTCTATGCTTCATGCACCATACTCTTCTCTCACGTGTCAGCTGAGAGCGAGCACATGGACTCCGGGAGAAGAAGAGGAGGAGAGATTGTTGCATTATCACTGAAAAGTGAAAACGAATACAAACTCTACTGCGAGGAGACAATAATTTGATAACCGCAACCAATAAGACAAGCTGAATCGACATTTGTGCATACTTTATTCATGCAATGCAAAACGGTGGAGACAATGTGCAATAAAACGATGGAAGTAGGAAGAAAATAGTGTAGAGAAAAAATTCGTTTTCTTGCACATTGTCTCCACCGTTTTACATTGCATGAATAAAGTAAACACAAATTAATGTCGATTCAGCTTGTCTTATTGATTGCGGCTATCAAACTCTACTGTTCCACACTTTCCGAGTCCCATTTTTCACAGTTCTTCTGCTGAATCTGTAGTTTATATCTATTTTTCTTCCTCTTTAAGCAGCAGTTCCCAGCTCTCTGTTCTTTCATAATCCGCTGCCTAAAAGCAGGAATATGAACAGACTAAATCAGTGATGCATGTTTCATCCTCGGACAATGACATTTTTGCTCAGTACCCACAACACTACAGAAACATTGCTTTCATCCCCTGGTTCCAGCACAGGATGATGTAAATCAGGAATTTCACCACGGCAACCACTCGCCCCGAGCTGCAGCTTCGTGTTTCAAAAGACCTTGCAAGAATGATCACCATGATAGCGACAAAGAGGAACTGTGGGGAGCACGTGGGAATGGTGTTTTTCGACTTGGCTAAGGCATTCGACACCGTTTGGCATCGTGGCTTACTTGCCAAGTTGGAGGTCACCTTCCGGGTGGAGGATGCTGCCTTGCGTTGGATATCCTCGTATCTGTCTGCTCGTTCTCAGGCTGTTCGCTTGTCCTATTTCTTGTCTGATCCCCTCCCTGTAACGTCTGGAGTGCCCCAAGGTTCCATTCTGGGTCCTTTGTTATTCTTGCTTTACGTTAATGACCTACCTTCAGTTGTCCCCGATGTTAGTTTGTATGCGGATGACACTGGCCTTATCTGTTCTGATCCCTCCCCTGCACAATTACTCCTTACCATGCAGCATCGCATCAACAGCACTGTCATGTGGATGCAAACGTGGAAACTCCAGCCCAATTTAGACAAGACAGAAGCCATGTATATTTCTTCATCCCCTCCTGATCAACCATTATACTTCAGGCCCGTAGCAGCCCCATTTTGCCGGGTTGGTCCGGCAAGATCCGACCTCGATGCCCCCCCCCCCCCCCCCCCCCCGCCCACACTCCTACATATGCCGGTACATGTACATGTACAAAGTGTAAATGATTGTACGTGTATGTACAGTTGTATGTAATTGTGACCATGCAGAGTGACATAGGGCGAGAAAAGGAAGAAGGATGTTCTGCATGAGTCAGGAAAAAGGGCATCAGCATGTTGTGTCCGTCCAAACAGAACTTGTTGAAGCCTATGAAGGCATAGCAACAGTATCTAAACGCATGTGATAAAAGAACCAAAAATGGACCTTTGGTTCCTTGGGGGAAGAGAAAGGACATTGCAATGGAGGAATGGCAGGAGGTCATAAAACACAGGACAACACCCACATAGATCTATGTACATGGTATTCGCAACAACATGTACATGACATGTACTTGAGGACTACTAGAGTTCAAACTTCAAAGTATATACTCTTGCTATTACCAAGAGTACATAACCCCCTGTACTCTTGCTATTACCATGTACTACCTATACTTATATACCTCACTACGGCTCTACTTATTGCACACATCATGGGTGGACATCCTGAGCTGCTTACATGTGTGAGCTCCTTTTTTTTTTTTTTTTTTTTTTTTTTTTTTTTTTTTTTTTTGGCCAAACATTGGTCCGGCAGCTGCCGGACCTGCCGGACCGCCTGCTACGGCCCTGTACTTCCCTGACTCGACTATGCCTATCCGTGTTGTTACTCAGCACAAACATCTAGGTGTGATGTTTGACTGCAGACTCTCTTGGGCTGCACATGTCAACTGTGTATGCAAGCGAACCAGTTCAGCATTAGGGGTACTACAACCACATTGCACTCATTTGCCCATCCAGTGTAAACTATTATTTTATCAGTGCTAT